GAGGGGGGAGCCTTTACTGTGAAGTTATGTGCAATTGATGCAGACATGTTTCTTATTAACCTTTGTGTTTAAAAATAAATGTCTCAGAATTTGAAACTAGTGAAGTAGTAACAGATTTCAGAAGAGAGAATTTCAAACAATAGTTCTGATTGGTGAGGAACTGTTGCTCACCAATAATTTAATAAATAGCAAATAATTTAAATGCTACTAAATCGTGAGTAGATGATTTATTGTGTGAATTATTAGATTAATATTTGGGGGATCACTTTAAGGTAATAGAGCTAGTTTTGAAATTCAGGTAACTGAAATCTTGATGACAACTAGGTAATGATGTGGTAGGCATATCTTTCTTTGTCTTTTATGTTTATGATATTGTGTTTGTATTAAGTAGGATAGTTTTTGAGATGGGAATTGAATATTGAAATCATGTTGGTAGCTGGATCTGTGAAGTAAAAACTTGAGTTTTATCATTGTAGCATACATGTATTGTGTGTACATCAGTGGAGGTTATGAAACTGAATTTTACAGCTGTGCTCAAAATAATAAATATTTAGTCTTATTTCTCTTGAATAGAATCTGATTACAAGAGTAGTTTGGAACTTTTAATTTAAAAATATTCTAATCTTTTATTATGTGAGAATCTCCTGCATTATTAATAAATGTTACTAGAGACTGAGTCCACGATTAATAGACTAATAACCTAACGTATCAATTCTGTACTTTATTGGAATTTTTTTTTTTAGATTTTCCTATTTAAAAGAGGGTAAAAATCACATCCATAAATAATTGTTCCAGTGGTAACTTCTCAGTCTGTGTGTTCAAAGAGTTTGTGTGCTGTTTTTAATGTAGACTTCTATTTTAGGGAACACACATGACAGGAAGGGTAGCCATTACAGTAGATACTTAGAACTTGTTCTCCTGTTTCTTTTTGGCTTGTCTTTAGACAGAAAAATTTGAATTTGTATGCTGACCTCTTAAAAAAAGAGGTGTGTTTACAAAAATAGGAAAATACATTACTTAAGTTTTCCACTTTAATAGTTTTTATTTAAATGATTCTTTTTCCAAAAAAATATTTAGTTTATTTTGGAGTCCTAAATAGTTAGCAAAGATGCTAAAAACACGTTAGCTTGTTTCCACTTTGAGTATAGTTAAAAATATATATGTATATTTTGAAAGTAATGGTGTTCCAAAATAGTGGTTGCCAAGTTGTTTTTGAGGGAGAACCTCAAATCTGCTTCTGTTTTCGGTTCCACCTCTCAGTTTCTTTAAAAGTTTTTACAGTGTCCTAATTCTGTTCTGTATGACCTATATTAATTAAAGGAAAAGAAAATTAAGAAAAAAAAGTATGCTTTAGCTTTTTAAAAATAATTTGCTAAAATAAGATCAACACAAACTGTACTCAGTAAGTTAAACTAAAAGTTAGCCTTTGTCTAAGTAATTTCTACATGACATTTGGTTAATAGAATTTGTGAGTAAGAATCCTTTGTAAATGAATCTTTATTTTTCTTTGTTTCCTGTGCTTTTAGTTCATTGAGCTTCTTGGATCTGTGTGGATTTGTAGTTTTTATCAAATTTGAAAAAGTTTTGACCATTATTTACACACACACACACACACACACACTTTATTTTTGTCCCTTTTTTTCCCTTTTGGAAATCCAATTACATGTATATCAAGGCTGCTTGATGCTCACTGATGTTCTATTCACCTCTGTTTCAGTTGGATAATCTTGCTATGTCTCCAAGTTCATTAATCTTTTTTCTGTAATGTGTAATGTGCTGTTAATCCCATCCAGCATATTTTTTATTTCAGACATGGTTTTATATCTAGAAATGCAGTCTTTTAAAAAACATCTTCCACATCTATAGCTTTCATACACTGTCTTTTTCCAGCTTCTTGAACATATACTAGTAGAATTCAGGTATAACAGGCTGAATGTGCAGGTCTACAATTCAATCTGTGTCATTTCTGGGTTGGTTTTGGTAGATTTTTTTCTTACTATGGATTGTGTTTTCTTGCTCTTGCACGCCTGGTAAATTTTGATTGGATGCCAGGCATTTGGAATTTTACCTTGTTGGGTGCTGGATATTTTTTGTATTCCATTACATATTCTTGAGCTTTGTTCTGGGAAGCAGTTGACTTGGAAACAGTTTGATTTTTTTCAGATCTTGCTTCTAAGTTGTGTTAGGCAGTTCCACTGTTGTACTATTGACGCAAAACCCTGCATAGTACTCTGGCTTGTGGGAACAAGAAGTATTCCTGGACTTGTGTGAGCAAAATGGTAGACTAATTAAATTGACTTCTATTTTAGGGAACACACATGACAGGAAGGGTAGCCATTACAGTAGATACTTAGAACTTGTTCTCCTGTTTCTTTTTGGCTTGTCTTTAGACAGAAAAATTTGAATTTGTATGCTACCTCTTAAAAAAATAGGTGTGTTTACAAAAATAGGAAAATACATTACTTAAGTTTTCCACTTTAATAGTTTTTATTGGTGTTCCTTCTAATCCTTGTTGCTGGTTCTTTCACTGTCCGTGGGTAGTTCACTCAAATACGTACTGATAAGTACTGAGCAGAAAACTTGAGAGGTCCCCCTGCAGATTTGTGCAGCTCTCTCTTAACTACTCTGCCTTGTATATGATCGTCACCTTGCTACCTCCAGGCTAAATTATGTCTCCTCAACTCAGGGAGACCACTGTGCTCTCCTTGGGTTCCCCCCTCCCTGTACTGTGGCCTAGAAGTTCTTCCAAGGCAGTAAAGTAAGCTAGGGCAATTGTTAGTCATCTTGTGTGTTTCCCCTCTGTCAGAAATCTACTGTCTTTTGTGGCCTAATGTTCATTGTCTTGAAAAAATGCTTTCTGTATTTTGTCTTTTTCTTTTTCCCTGCAGTTGTTTCAGGCAGGAAGGTAAATTTGGTTCCAGTTATTCCATCTTTGCCAGAAGTGGATATCTGTTTATATACTTACTAGAGGCCCGATGCACGAAATTCGTGCAAGAGTAAGCCTTCCTTCCCTGGCTGCCGGCATCAGCTTCCCTCTGGCTGCCTGCAGGCACCCGGGACCCGGGCTTCCTTCCGGCCACCGGCAGGCACCCGGGCTTTGCTCCGGCCGCTAGGAGGCACCGGGGACCTGGGCTTCCCTCGCAGCCCGGGCTTCGTCCGGAAGGATGTCTGCTCTAATTAGTATATTATGCTTTTATTATTATAGATAATTACATTTTTGCCCTGCCACTCTTGTATTTCTGCTTTCACATGTGGCATAGAGTTTTGTTACACGAGCCTTATGGAAGACTTATTTTCATGTGAAGTGTTAATTAAGAGTAAGGATATTGATTAATTTAGTGACTAGATTTGCCATTTTGGACCTAGAATCTGAAAGTAAACAGTTGATTTTTTCATGCCAGTTTACTGACTGCCTTATACTTTTGGAGTCTTTTCACTGACTTGAGATTCACTATATTCAGAGATGAATCCGGGATTTCATTGAGTAGCTCCTTGAATCAAAGAATCTCTGTAAGAGCTTGTGACATGGTGTCAGTCCTCTTTAACTAATGGGAAGAGGAAGCTATTTAGAGATCTGGAACGATGGGCCAGCTCTTCTGCATGCTGCAGGGCATTTTCCTACTTAAACGGAATGGAAAAAAATTTTCTCAGTGCTAGTTATATACATAGGGCTCCGTGACAGTGAAGTAGAAATAATCGTTTTTCTGTTTGAGATGTCATTCAGTTCTGTAACCAATTTTGAATATTACTTGCTCTGAATTTTTAAGGTATTTGTGACAGTAGTTAATTTCATAATCTTAATGTTCACAAAGTATGCTATTTACATTACCTAAGCAGTTGGATATATGGATATGTTAGTGTTTTAAGGACTGAGAAAATTGTTATTAGTATCAAAACAATATATGGAATTACTCTAGATTCAATCCCATTAGATAGCTATTAAAATACTTAGTAAATATGATATACTGGTGTGTAAATTTGTATATTTTGGTTTTTCCCCCCACGTCCCTCATGGTTCAGGGTTCAGGGTTCAGGATCTGGAAGAGGGGCCGCACACAAATGAAAGATACAAGACAAGAGATAATTTGGAAATATTGGGGGACCAGGTGGGCAAGTCCAATTCAAGGGGAAGGACTTCCACTGGTGCTCAGGCAGGCCTCCCGAACCTTTTATTGGTTTGGGATACACCCATAGCCCTTAGGCAGGCAATTTCTAGTAAC